GGCACTCTTCCCAGGGGGATGGCTTGAGGCTCTGTCTCAAAAAAAAAAAAAAAGTTCTGGAGATAGATGGTGGTTATGATTGCACAACAAAGCCAGGAGAGGTGGCTCACTCCTGTAATCCTAGCACTCTGGGAGGCCAAGGCAGATAGACTGCCTGAGCTCACAGGTTGGAGAACAGTCTGAGCCAGAACAGACCTTGTCTCTAAAAAAGAGCTGGTGGGGGCAGTGCATGTGGCTCAGTGGGTAGGGCACCAGCCCCATATACCAAGGGTAGCAGGTTCAAACCCAGCCCCAGACCAAACTGCAACAAAAAATAGCCGGGCATTGCAGTGGGCACCTGTAGTCCCAGCTACTCGGGAGGCTGAGGCAAGAGAATTGCCTAACCCAGGAGTTAGAGGTTGCTGTGAGCTATAACACCACAGCACTCTACTGAGGGTGATAAAGTGAGACTCTGTCTCTAAAAAAATAAAATAAAATAAAAAATTTAAAAAAAAGATAACTGAGTGCTGTGGCAAGCACCTATAGTCTCAACTACTCGGGAGGCTGAGGCAAGAGAATCGCTTGAGCCCAAGACTTTTGAGGTTGCTGTGAGTTATGACGCCATGGCACTCATGGTGAATAGGTGAGACTATCTCAAAAAAAAAAAAAAAAATTACACAATGTGAATGTACTTAATATTACTGTATATTTAAATGTAGTTAAAATGGTAAAATTTACGTTATATATATTTCACCACAATTTTTGTTTGTTTGTTTTTGTAGAGACAGAGTCTCAGTAGAGTGCTGTGGTATCACAGTTCACAGCAACCTCCAACTCCTGGGCTTAGACAATTCTCTTGCCTCAGCCTCCCAAGTAGCTGGGACTACAGGCCCGCGCCACAATGCCCGGCTATTTTTTTGTGGCAGTTTGGCAGAGGCTGGGTTTGAACCCGCCACCTACCCACTTAGCCACAGGTGCCACCCTTCACCACAATTTTTTTTTTTTTTTCAGTTTTGGCTGGGGCTGGGTTTGAACCTGCCACCTCCGGCACATGGAGCCAGTGCCCTACCCTTTTGAGCCACAAGTGCCAGCCGCCCACCACAATTTTTTTTTTAAAAGCATGCCAGCTTTAAAGTTATACTGCAGTTAATCCTGGTTTGGCCACTTACCAGCTATATGACTCTGAGCAAATAATGTAACTTCTCTAAGCCTGTTTTCTTCTCCTGTAAAACAGGAGTAACAGTACCTAATTCATAGGTTGCACTGAGGATTAAATGAAATACTCCACAGAATGACCTTAGTTTGGTGACTTACACATGTTAAGTACTTTAAAAATGTTAGCTGTTATTACTACTACTAACAGCAAACCATTTTCATAGCCACTTTCTCATAATCCCTACAACAACCGTGTGAGCATTTATAGAAAGGAAATGTGAGGATCAGAGAGCTACAATGAGTGGCTCAGTTTATGATGTCAAGTCAAATCCTCTGCCCATTAGAGATGTCGTGTCCTTACCATTTGTTAATTCTGTGATATGAGGCAACTGCCCTAACCTTGCTTCATTCCCTTATAGTAAGGAAAAAGGAGGCATAAACCAAGTTCTGCAAACTTCCTCACAGAAATGAAATCAAATAATGGTTACAAAGAGTAAATAAATAGAGATAAATCAGAATTTTTTAAACAGGGGAGGAGAGGGGATGGGTGGAGGGAGGGCGATTGGAGGGATCACCTCTATGGTTTATCTTACAAGGGTACAAGTGACTCTTTCTAAAAGTAGAATATAAACATCTTAACACAATAACTAAGAAAATGACATAAAGGCTATGTTAACCAGTTTGATGAAAATATTTCAAATTGTATATGAAAACCACACTGTATCCCATGATTGCATTAATGTACACAGCTATCATTTAATTAAAAAAAAAGAATTTTTAAAAAATATAAAGCAAAACTGGAAACTCAGGAGAAATGGTAACACTTGTGCACTAAAACCTGGTCTCCTTGTTATACTAAACATGAGGCACACAACTTCCTTGGGATTTGTAGTTACTTAGGATTCCTGATTTCAAGGCCTGAATAAGTGGTTAATGCCCTTTTTTACAAGGTGGCAAGGTATGGGAGAAATAAAAAGATTACTGGACTGGGAATTCTAGTGCTGATTCTGTTACTAGGCAGTCTATGAATTACTTACTTCCCCTTTTCAAGGTTTAGTTAATAGAGAAAGGGGGAAAGGCAGATATGAAAGGTGGACTAGATGGTTCTGTAAGATGCCCTCCAGCTCCGACATGCCATGACTCCTAAATGCAAATCTTTGTTTGAATATACGAACACTCAGAGAGGTAAGTTTCTCTCCTTCCCCCACTCAAAAGAACTAATGCAGGCTCTGTGTCCGCAGCCCAGTGGTTAGGGCACCAGCCACATACACTGGAGCTGGTGGGTTTAAACCCAGCCCTGGCCTGCTAAACAAAAATGACAACTACAACAAAAAAATAGCCAGGCATTTTGGTGAGTGCCTGTAGTCCTAGCTACTTGGGAGGCTGAGGCAAGAGAATTGCTTAAGCCCAGAAGTTAGAGGTTGCTGTGAGCTATGATGCCATAGCAGTTTACCGAGGGCAACATAGTGACACTGTCTCAAAAAAACAGAAAAAAAAAAGTGAGGCAGTGTCTGTGGGTCAGTGGGTAGAGCACCAGCCTCATATACTGAGGGTGGCGAGTTTGAACCCAACCCCCGCCAAACTGGGAAAAAAAAAAACCTAATGCAAACATCAGGAACTTTTTTTTTTTTTTTTTGGAGACAGTGTCTTTTTGTCGCCCTGAGTAAAGTGCTGTGGCATCATCATAACCTCACAGCAACCTCAAACTCCTGGGCTCAGGCAATCCTCTCGCCTCAGCTTCCCGAGTAGCTGAGACTACAGGTGCCTCCCACCACACATGGCTATTTTTTTTTTTCTGTTTTTAGGAAAGACAGGGTCTCTGCTCTTGCTCTGGTTGTGAAGTCCTGAGCTCAAGCAATCCACCTGCCTTGGCCTCCCAGAGGGCTGGGATTACAGGCCTGAGCCATTGCACCTGGTCAGGAACCTTCTTGAGACCTGGCCCAGAAACTCCTTTGCCTGGTTTTAAGGCGGGGCGGGGCCTGATGGGAGGAGGGGCTGATCCCCCAAACGAGGATCATACACATTAGAAAACTGGGCCTAATTAAACCCTATTTGAGAGCAAAGCTGAAGTAGATGACTTGAGCTACCCACCTCTTCAAACTAGAATCAATAAAGCTAAATAACACAAACAACATGCAAGGCTTGGGCAAAAAGAATATACCATAAACAAAGGATGGGCCTCCCTCTTTTAGAGTCTTAAGCCTTCCTCCAACCAAAACCCCAGAGAACTTAAGCTGTGCTTCCGATCTGGAATCCTATCATCCATCAGCCTCTAACAATAAATTCATCCTAACCTCCCTTCTCTCAGTACTATGGTAACCCCAGAATGTGACTTCATCCATAATATAGCAGACAAGGGCCCAGAACTCAGAGAACCCCGAAGTTTTATCTCTAACTACACAACGGGACCCAAGGGTAAGTCAAAATCCCCTCTGCACTAAGAAATGATACACGCTCACACCAGAAGATAAATAACAGGTACTAACATAACTGGCTTTACATTTCTGTAGCCATTAACTGTGACTTGGAGCAAAGTACTTAACCTTCATGTGCCTTGATTTCTGCTTCCGTAAAGGAGGGTGAGCCAAAAGGCCGTTGTATTTTAAATAAAATAAGGTTAATAAGTTCTAATTCTCATCAGACGTTACCTGTTGGTATTAAACACTTCTCTCACATATTAGTTTCCTCTCTGAATCCTTGAACACACTGCGAGGCGAGTTTCTCTCCTTCACCCATTTCACAGAGGGGCAAGCTAAGTCTCAGCCGCAAAGAGGGCTGCGTGAAGGACCTCAGCTCCAGGGCCTGTCGTTCTTCTCCGAGTCCGGGGTGTGTGAACACCCCAGGACCCGCAGAGGAGGGAGCGCGGTGCTCAAGCCCGAGAGGAGCGAGGCGGGACCTGTTTCGCGCGCCTCCTGACGCCCGCAGCCCCCAGCCCTGACGGGAAATCCGGAAGATACCCCGGGCTGGGGCCAGAGCCAGGGCTGAGCCCGCCCGAGGCCTCCCCGGCAAGGCCTCCGCTCCCTCCTCCCCTCGCCCGGCAGGGCGGAGCACGAGCACAAAAGACTCCAACTTCCGAGCGGGCGCGGGCCCACCCTGCCAACTCCTGGCCCCAGCGCCGCCGGTGGGGAGGAAGCGGGCGGCGACTGCTAGAGCGGGCGGGAGCGGGAGCCGGCGCGGACAGACCCGAACTGGCGACCCACGGCGGCGGGTCCGGGCCTGAGGAACGAGCAGAGGGAGGGGGGCCTGGAGTTACTCTGGCTCCTGGACTCTCAGAATGGCCGAAATAAGAGTTTCTAAAAATAGGCTGTGGCCCGCCCGAAGAAGTGGGCGAAGGAAAAGGCACACGGTACACCCCCTGCACCTCTACGGAGACGCCGGCGGCCCCCACTCACCCGCACGTAGAGGTCTGGAGAAAGCGGCGCGGAAGGAGGCGGTGCCCCCGCACTTGGGGTCGAGAGAGAGTGCGGGAGAAGGCAGCCCCGGCCGCGGCGTGAGGAGGCTGAGCACAAGCGCGGGAATCGCCACCGCCGCTACCGCCCCCTCAGCTTCCTTCAGCTCTGCCGCCCCGCGCCCGCGCCGATCGCGCGCCCAGCCGCACTGACAGCGGCGCGAGCCCCGCAGCCGCGAGCCCTTCCCTCGGCCGGCACCACCGAGGCGCGCGGGTGTGGGGGCTCGCGAAGAGGCTTCCCTTCGCTCGGCCCCACCCGCCGCTGTGGCCCTGGCCCCGGGCTTTCCCTCCTCCTCCTCCCTGTCTCTCAGGAAGGACACGGTGACACGACTACCAGGAGGCGGCAGCCCCGCCCTAACACAGCCGGACTCCCCTGGCGCACGGGCTTTCCCCACCCCCTCAGCCGGGCTTTGGAAAGGTCCAGAGCTTCCGCGGGGAACGAAGGAAGGCGGGGGCGGGGCGGAGCCTGACGGGAGGAGGGGCTGAGATGGCGGCCTGAGGGCGGAGCTAAGGCGCGAAAAGCTAGTCGTTTATACCAGTTTGCAGCCGGAGACGGGGCGGGGCTGTGAGGGTTTTGAAACACTAGGATGAGGGGCTAGACAGGTAGGGAAGATCATGGAGGCCTCGGAGAGTCGAGCGCAGGGCAGTGCTGGAGAGAGAGGGGGCTGTGGGCGGAGCTAAATGGGGACATGCCCTGAGGAGGAGTCAAGGATGGAGGGAAGCCAATGCAAGTCTGGAAAGAGGCAGAGCCTTCAAGAAGCGGAGAGGGTGAAGGCGGAGCTGGAAAAAAGCCCAGAGTGGGGAACGTAGAAGTCGGCCTGAAGGAGGCGGGCCCGGAAGCAGAGCGGAGAGGCTGAGGCTAAGGGTTGGCCACTCTGGGGAGGAGCCGGAAGAAGGTGTGCCCTAAAGGAGCGCCGAGTGGGCGTGGCCTGAAGTTGGGACTGAAATCCGTCGTCTGGGGGCGGTGCCCGAGAGATCCGGAAGAGGTGAGCTAGGAAGAACCACCTGGTCCTTTCGCTTTCAAGGAACCTGGCCACGTGGACATGTTAAGGGGAGGCCGCGATGAGAGTAGTCTGCCGAGGAGGCTCTATTGTCACACCTAAAAAAGGTTAACTTTACCTTCCTAGAGTGCAGATGTTCTATAATCTGATTCAGGTGGTGGTCCTCCCACCTAAATGTTTCTTTCACTTGAATCAGGGTTTTTAGCCCTCAGGTTCTCCCCCCCTACCCCCCAACCTTCTCCTTCCGAGGAACAGTCAGGGGGGTCCTCCGAAACACAAGAGGACAGTTGTCCTTCAGTCCTCAGCTATCGATTTTCCTGCAGGCTGGAAGCTGACGAAACAAATTCATGCTTTATCCGACCTGTGATTTTATGTTTCATGTTGCCTCCCCAGAACCTGTCTAAGAGAAGGGATTCGTGAGAACGGAGAAGAATTTGAATTCAGAGTCCTGGCTTTGCCAGACCAGCAGTTGCAAGTGCACTTCTGTCATTTGACCTCTGTGCCTCCTTGAAAGGAAGAAAAATTAGAGAAATGATGACACTGAAAGCAAGTCCTGGGATGTTCTAACTCTAATATCACCTCAGAGTCATCTTCCTTGAGCACCTCGTCTTAAGGTGTTCTCTAGTTTCTTCTATTTGTTCATGTGTTGTGTACATCACCATGTTCCCTGACTTAGTGCCATGTCTGGCACACACCTAGTGCTCAATAATCACTTGAATGGATCAATCAATCAATCAATGGATTATGAATCTAGCACCAGCCAATCTCCTCTGCTGTTTCTGGCCACCCCTTGGCTTCTCACTTCCCTCCTTGTGCAGTAGCCTTATCATACTTACTAGAATACACCACAGTCTCTTAGCACCCTCTGCTATAGCATTTTCACAACTTAAGATTGTTCCCCTTCTGCCCAGAAGCTTCTAGTTCATCCTTCAACATTCAATTCAGGAGTGCCCCCTCTAAGAAGCCTTCCCTTTTGCCCCACCCCTTCTTTATAAAACTTGCCTGTGGGGATGATGTCCTGTTCTCTGCTGACACGGAGGATTATGCTCATGTCTTACAAAGTCCTATGTGATCTGGCTCCCTCCTGCTACCCTTCTGACCTCATTTCCTAATGCTCTCACCCTCTCACTCTGTTCCAACCACACATTGACTTCTTCCCTGTTACTTCAATATGCCAAGCATACTGCTGCCTCAGGGCCTTTGCACATATTGATATGTCTAACTCAAATGCTTTTCCAGATAATTGGTTTGACTCACCTTCAGGTCTCTGCTCAAATGTCATTTCTTCAGACCAGGCATAGTTGACTCACATGTGATATCCTAGGATATCTAGGCAAGTAGATAACTTGAGCTCAGAAGTTTGAGACCAGCCTGAGCAAGAGTGAGACCTTATCGCTACTAAAAATAGAAAACTAGCTGGGCATTGTGGTGAGCACCTGTACTCCCAGCTATGCTGGAGGCTGAAGCAAAAAGGATCTCTTGAGCCTCTGAGTTGAAGGTTTCTGTGAACCACTGCGCCATGGCAGTCTACCCAGCCAGAGTAAGACTTTGTCTCAAAAAAAAAAAAAAAACCAAAAAGAAAACCACTGTGCCCATGCCCACTGGTTAAGGCACTGGCCACACACACTGGGGCTGGTGGGTTCAAACCCAGCCTGGGCCTGCTAAACAACAACAACAACAAAAATAGCTGGGCATTGTTTTGGGCACCTGCAGTCCTAGCTACTTAGGAGGCTAAGGTAAGAGAATCGCTTAAGCCCAAGAGTTTGAGGTTGCTGTGAGCTGTGATGCCAAGGCACTCTACCTAGGGCAACATAGTGAGACTCTGTCTCAAAAGTTATTTCTTCAAAGAGGCTTTCGCTGGCCCACATTTAGAATATAATACCCTACTCCTTCACTCCTTTGTACTTCCTCATACTCATTCCTGCTGGATTTTTCCTCCGTAGCACTTATCACCACCTATTTGTATGTCCATTATTTCTTTTGCATTTCCACCTTCCACTACAGTATGATCTTCACAAGGACAGGATATTGTCTGCTTTGCTCCCCAGTGCTTAAAATAGTCCTCATTTAATATTTGTTGAAAGAATGACTGCAAATTTGACTGAGAAATGTTAGGAAAACTGTCAGTATTACTACAACAATCTGAAAATTATGGTATGAAGAGAGATGTTTCTAAGGAAATATGCTGGCAACACTAACTAACATTTATGAAGCAGTCACTAATTGCCAGTCTGCTGAGAGTTTGCAAGTTTATTTAATTCCCACAACCAGCCCTATGAGATAGATACTATTATATGTATTAACCCTATTGTACAGGTGAGGAAACTGGCACAAAGAGGTTAACTTTCCCAAGGTCACACAACTGACAAATGATAGAGTCCAACTTTAGAGCCTACATGATGCATCCCTATATTATTATTCTACCTTCTAATTATTAAGGATGTAGAGTTGTTGATCCAATAAAGGTGATGAATGAGGAAGAAACATTCTTTTGCCTTCTGGATAGTGTGATATAGGGTATAATGCCTAGACTTATGGTTGATTTTTTTTTTGGCCACCACGAGGGAAGCCAGCCAGAAGATAAAACCATCACATGGAGGAGGTCAGGACTGAGAAAATATTACAAAAAAATTGAACCAGAGACCTGATGAAGGCATTCCTAAAGGTCAGCCCACTTTTGCACTTTAACATGAACCAATACATCTTTGTGATTTAAGTAGTTTGTCATTTTTGTAACTTGCAGCCATAATTTCCTAACTAAAATGGATGAGTAGAGTTCAACAGATGGAGATAAAGTATCCAGGTCAGGGATGGAAGAACTTTAAACGTAATCTGGTTCAACTGTATTTTTAATCCTCCTAGTAAATCCTATAAAGGTGGTTCTGGTTTTGTCCCCATTTCACAGATGAGGAAATGTGACATGGGCAATGTGTCATAGATAGTAGGTGTAGGGACCAGGATTTGAACACCAGGTTGAGTTCTAAGCTGTGCATTCAGCCACTTTCTGTCTCCACTACTGGACTTAATTCTGCCCTCTGAACTCATCCTGACGGGGCACATTCCTCTTCAGAGATGTGACAATGATATTTGCAGAGCTACCTATGCCAGGATTAGGAAGATGGAGTCAAAAAAGAGGAGATTAGAAGGACCCAATAGGCATCTTCATCAGAGGCAAAGAATGAAGAAAGAATAGATGAGGGAGAGGGTAGTGGGGGAGAATTAGCAGGTGGGGATGGAGGGACGTAAGAAAGAAGACAGGCTTGGCATTAGAACTGGAGTTGCAAAATCAGATGCCAATAGGGCCAGGCATGTACCATAACAAGGGTGACCAGATGTCCCGCTTTTGGCGGGACAGTCCCACTTTTCTTTTCTTTTTTTTATTTTTTTTTATTTTTTTGAGACAGAGCCTCAAGCTGTCCCCCTGGGTAGAGTGCCGTGGCATTACAGCTCACAGCAACCTCCAACTCCTGGGCTCAAGCGAGTCTCCTGCCTCTGCCTCCCAAGTAGCTGGGACCACAGGCGCCCGCCACAACGCCCCGCTATTTTTTGGTTGCAGCCGTCATTGTTGTTTTGGGGGGTCCGGGCTGGGGATTCGAACCCGCCACCTTAGGTGTACGTGGCTGGCGCCTTAGCCGGTTGAGCTATAGGCGCCGAGCCGACAGTCCCACTTTTCAACAATTTGGCCTGCAGCATTTTTAAAAAGTCCCGATTTTTGGAAAGAATGCATGAACAGGCGGGAGAACAAGGAGGGAATATACGGTTTTCAGCTGCCATGTGGCTATTTCGCCAGAATATGAGTTTTATATTATTTTTGTTAATTTTATAATGTTAAACTGTAATAATAACAAATAATTGCTGAGAAGTGATTATCGAGAACTGCTTATCAAAGTTTGCATTGTTGTCAGGCCCGGCCCTGTCCCGCCCCCTGCCCTGCCCCCCCAAAGTTGTCCCACCCTACCAATGTTAAAATCTGGTCACCTTAACCATAACTGACTCCATCCTCCTTCTAGAGGAGAGAGCTACTATTCGTGGAAATACAGGCTCCTACTATTTCCAGTTGCCAGATCTAAAAAGGAGGGACTTGAAGGAGTAAGCTCTAAATCCAAATTTTAGATTAAACCATCTGCGTTTTGTTGTTGTTGTTGTTGTTGTTGTTTGTCAAGACAGAGCCTCACTCTCTTTCCCCAGGTAGCGTGCCATGGCCTCACAGCAACTCAAAGTCCTGGGCTCAAGCAATCCTCCTATCTCAGTCTCCCAAGTACCTGAGACTATAGGCACCCATCACAATGCCCAGCTAATTTTT